AAAGAAAGAACTACCAGGTCAAAGGGATGCATTTTTTTTTAAAGTGCATCTTCCTTAGGTATTGACTATTTGCTTAAAAGTGACAATTTGCACTTCCATCAACAATCTATGTGAATGCTCATTTCACTATATCTTTCTCACTTGCACAGGTGTTTCAGATGTTTATCATTTCATTACAAATTTACTCAATTGTTAGGTTGATATACTAGCCCCTTGTTTAATTTGGGTTTCTCTGATAAAAATTTGTATTTCATCTACAATAAATGGTATACAGAGGCTCTTTTATATTTTATGTAAATGTTTTATATAAACCCACGTACAAATGTGTACAAATCAACCAGACCAAAACTTTAAAAATAAAATATGTAGTTCCCTATATATATATATACAGTGGAATACTATTTGCCCATAAAAAAGAATGAAGTTTTGATATGTGCTACAGCATGAATAAACCTTGAAAACATTATGCTAAATAAAGGAAGCCAGTCACAAAAAGCCACATATTATATGATTCCATTTATATGAAATATCCAGAAATGACAAACCTATAGAGACAGAAAATAGATTAGTAGTTGCCTAGGGCTAGGGAAGGAGGAGGTGATGGAGAGCGATTGCTAATGGTTTCTTCTTGGGGTGATGAAAATGTTAAAAAATTAGACAGTGGCAATAGCTTTTAAAACCCTATGAATACACTACAAATCATCGACCTGTGCACTTTAAGTGGGTGAATTTATGTATGTATGTACATGTAGGTATGGTATGTGATTATATCTCAAAAAGGTTATTTTAAAAATGTACATGTTAATATGTGGTGGTCTATTAAGACTCCTATGGAAAAAAAGTATATTTGTCTCTTCCTCTGATTTTTAGAAGTTTTTAATATCGCATATTTTTTGGAGCTATAGTATTAGATAACACAGAATGTTCAGGGCAATTATATCTTTTTGAAAGACTGAATCTGTTATTAATCTGCAATATCCCTCTTTAATCTGTTTGATGCACTTTGCCTTAAATTCTATTTAGTCTGATATTAACATAGTTATGACTTTCTTTTTCATTCATGTGAAATTGTTTTTTCAAATTTCTAATATTGAGGTTGCTTTTTTCTTTACAAGTATCTCTTACACAAGTATCTCTTGCACATATAGTGCTATATTTTATTTTTAGAAGTCTGAGATTCTATTAATAGGACAATTTAACCCATTAACCTTTACCTATTACCTATACTTATTCCTGTCATCATATATTTCATTTATTTACTATGTTTACTTGTTTTCTTTTCTCTGCCTTTGGTTAAGATGATAAACTTTTTTGCTGTCATGATTTATATTTAATATCCTATTTGTGGGTATTATTCATATATTTCAGATTATGTTTTACTAACAAATTGTAGCGTTAATCTATACCTGAATTGTTTTCTTGAAAAAAAAAACAAATATTTCATCACTTCTTTTTCTTCTACCCTCCCATGTTGAACTAATTTGATTCTGACTGATAATATTTAAAGATTAACATTACAGATAAAAAAAAGCGATGAGACTCAACTCCGTATACCTTTTTTGTGTGTGTTTGTGTATTGCAAAACTCTCCACTGTTTCCTTAACTCAATACTGTTTCCTCACGACATGCCCTTCCATTCTTTGGGTCCCCTCCCCATTTTTTTGGTCAGGAGTACTTTCATACACAATACTTTCGAAAAAGGTCTATAACAATCAGAGAACATGAATCATTACAGGTCCAAAAACGCTTTTATTTTCCTCTCACACTGATTTGCTATTTTTCCTGAATACAGAATTATGAGTTCAAAATATTTTTTCCCTAGAACTTCAAAACTACTGCATTTCTATATTCTATCACTTTTTTTAAAAAAAACTTTTTTTTTTAAACTTTTTTTTAAAATCTGATTCTTTCCTTTGTAGATAAAATATGTTTGCTCTCTGGAAGCTTTTAATCAGTCTCTGTTATCACTAGCGTTCTGAAATTCCCCATCCAAGTACTAAGTACTAACCAGGCCCGACCCTGCTTAGCTTCCGAGATCAGACGAGATGGGGCACGTTCAGGGTGGTACGGTCATAGACCTGAAATTTCATAGGATGGCATGTGACTGTAAGTCTTCTATTATTCTCTTCTTCGGCACTTTCAAAAGACTTGTCTGTCTTCAGTTTGGAGAAATTTTCTCCTATTCTTTCTATGATTATAATCCCCTCCGTTCTCTTTATTTATTTGAATCTTCTATTAGATGAATGTTAAAGCTTTAGAATGTCTTCTACATATGATTTTTTGTTCATGCTTTCCATCTTTTTCAGTGTAAGATGCATTCTAAAGAATCTCTTAGCTCAGTCTTCCAATTCATTACTTTGCTTTTAGCTGTGTCTACTCGATCCTATTAGTTTTGAAAATCTCAGCAATCATATTTTTAAATTCTAAGGTTGGTTTAATTTCATTCTATCCCATGTTTGTTTTATAAATGCAATAACCTCTCTTGTCTCTCCATGAATATTAATTTTACTTATTTCAAAGTCTACTGACTGTTCATTGTGTGTTATTTTTTGCTTTTTAAGTTTGGTGCCTCACTTCTCTATCATAGGTTTTCCTTAAATGTTTAGTAATTCTTGGTAGCAAGATCATTTCACAGTCTCTATTTGGCTGTCTGTGTACGCTGTTTCTGTTTACCACCATCTTCCTCAAGTGGTAATGTGGGAAATATGAGATATGGTGCTAGGTGTCACATATAATTCAGGAGTTTATCTTGCCAGGATGGGGCTTCTTGAGTTTCCTGATAATCAAAGGCTACTTGAGGATCTCCCAGCCTCTGGTGGCCTGTGTTATACTCAGTGCTTTAGCTTGGATTCACAGTATACTGCAGAAGGGGTACTGCAGGCTTACCCACTCTATATATACCTCCTTACCTAATACTATAGGGCCCCTCCCCACTACTTGAATATGATTCTTGATTGAGAACGCTACTGATCCATATATTTTGAGATGTGGTCCGTCAGCTTTTATTTTTCCATGGGTGTGATTCCTCATGTATAATGTCTTTCAGAAATACCTGAAATTTCCATCTACTGATGAAACTCTTTCTTGTTTTCCCATACTGTTATCAATTTAGTCATATAAATGGGTTTACATAGGTACAGATATATATGCATACCTTATCTTATGGAATTTGCAGTTGTGAATATGTCAGTGGTGGTAGTAATGAAGTTAAAGAACTTCATGAACTTTTAGCCTACCATCTTGATCCCATTCTCGGTGTCATTATTTGCTAGTCTGTACTCCAATGTTAACATGGCTATTTCTCTAAATCCCTTCTATCCTTTCTCTAAAACACTTCTATCTCCAACTCTTATTTGACATTTTTCCTTGGATTTCTTATAAGTATCTCGAATTTAACATGTCCAAAATGAAATTACTGACCTAATCCTTAGGAAATCTGCTCTACTCAGGCATCATCCACATACCAGGACCTTTGGAGCAAATTCTTAAAACTCCTTTCCTTCACTTATCACTTACAACAAGTAGTTCCAACAAAATAGATTTAACTTCTTTCCAATTCTACTGTCATTAATTTTTTCCTAAGCCACCATCATCTTTCACCTGGGGTAAGTAACAGCCTCCAAACTGGTCCTACTGCTCCTCCCCTACCCCTCTAAATCATTTTCCCCAGCATAGCCAGAGTAAATGTTTAAAAATGCAAATCAGATCATGTCATCCTTGTGCTTAAACTCTTCCATTACTTCCCACTGCTGTTGGAAAATATCCCCATTTTTTTTCATGTTAAATGCTATCTCTGAATCCAAATCTGGAGACTAGGTCTCTGCTATTTACCTAAAGACCTTTTGATGCCAACTGCTTATTAGCCTGCCTGGGTCCTGTAAGTTTGACTTTCCCTTTTGTTTGTTCCACTACCTTGCTGATGCATTCCATAACTTCACCTAAAATGCCTACATCATAAAACTGCTAGAGTTGTACTCTAGATACTAGGCAATTTTATATCTAGCTAGATAAGTCCCTTCAATAACTACCCTTCCCTAATGAACAAGTCCAGTTAAAGTCTAACTTTCTATAAAATGGGAATACTTCCCATTCTAATAGATGACAAGTTACTCCAGGCTTTGCCAGTGTGATCCTAGGTAAAATTCTAGGACACAGTTCTTTTTCTGTCAAATGAGTGGGTAGGGTTGTATGATTTTTAAGGTCTCTTCTATTTCTAGTGGTCACAGATTCCATGACCTAATGTAGTATTTCTTTAGATAAAGTATAGTACCTATAACTCAAATCTCATGAAAATTATACAAAGGGTAATATTCTATTTAGGGTTAAGAAAAACTTTCATCAAAGAGGAAAGTAATACAACTCTAGGTTTCTGGAGACAACATGGATTCACTTTTTCAAGATTTCGTGCCGTCCTCAATTGCCCAGTAAACACAACCTCAAGAATTGAAAATATAGTAATAACAACAACAAGCACTATAACTACTTTTACTACTACAAAGTAGTAGTAAAAATTTGAAAGCATTTAGCTCATATTGGGTAATGACCAAAAACTAACTATCATAATCAAATAGGAATGGAAACAGGGAAAAAAAAAAAGTAACGGTAGGTATCAACGGCTTCTTTCTGAAAGATTGATAAAGACCAATAGTTCATACTGGTTTACACAAAGAGCCAACATATCCCCCTTGTCCCATAACCCCTCCATTTTTATAATAATGTTAAAAGAAAAGGCTCTCTAGATTAAGTTGCTAGTGAGATCAAATGTGCCAAAAGTCTTTAAATCTGACTACAGTCAATTCTAAGTCTAGATCAAAACCATAAACACAGAAAACAAAAATCCCTTCGTTCCCTAATAACTTATAACTCCTAACTACCTTCCTACAAACTGTATAACCTTTGAAAATTGGAATCTATTTCCACTGACAATTACTAGGCCAAGTTTGAGTATTGCTCTTTGTATTGATGGGTTTCATAAATTAAATGATACACATTGCTTTTACCTGATACATTCCAACTCCAATGTGCTTCGGCTCGATTTTCACCAGCTCAGCTAATGGATCTTGTACACGCCTTGCTATGGAAACTGAAAAAACAGAATCAGAAATCTTAACGTGAAAAGCAGTATCCAGATAGTCATGTTAGTTCCTCATAACACAAGTACTTAAATCTATCCCTCTTTATCTTCTCCCCAAAAGACCAACAATTTCACACAAAAAGTGAATGTAAAATTTCAAGATTAATTATACTATAAGAACCACTAGGCAT